CCCCCCCCCCCCCCCCCCGCTCCAACTTAAATTATGACTGGTCCCTTACGTGATCCCCCCTTAAAGCATACAGTGTGGTTTTTCAACCAATTTAAAAATCCCCCCACATTGACGGTGGAAAATTTCATGATCCCCCCTCTTCTATCCCAGCCACCACAAAAAGCCAGTGTTACGATATGCAAGCAAGTGACATCTATATTAATACTTACGTCTCATGAACGTTGAACAACAACTTTACATATTTGGTCATCTGACATGAACTGCTTTGTCTGTGACGGGTTACTCTTCTGATCCAAATTGTTGAAAAAAAGTCATTGTCGCTCTCGTCCTCCTCACTGCCGATTTCTTCCTCATATTCTTCATCCCCTGATTCCCCGTCACTTTCATCTCTGGTACCACACGATTCGTCTGTGTTCACAGACTTGAGTTTATGTGTCGGTACTAATGACATCGTATAGCTTTTACCGGCTTTGTCAAGCTTCCGACCAATGGTGGTCAGTCCGTGTTCTTTCAGGTAGAAGTCAAGTTCTTTTACCTTTAACTTTTCGAAGTGTGTCCTGCTTGACCACTATAAATGACACCTTGAAATCCTCAGCAGATTTGCTATCATTCATCGACAGCAAGCGAAAAGTCCTTTATAGGGAAGACCATACTCCAAAATCCTTTGTAAGCGACAAACTGAAATATTTTCAGAAAGCTCAAGAACGAGATCGAGTAAAGGTGCTCCACGAAAAACTTCAAGAAGCCTCTCAGTCAAATAAGCTGGCAACAACCCTAATAAACCTGAAAAGGAAGTTTCCATCTCACATTTGGAAAGATCGAAAATCGCGTAGAGAAAAAGAGAACAAAAGAAAGCTAAGGTGAAAATATAAAATTAAAGGAGTTACAACAGAGCCGAGCATACTTGCTTCTCGAAAAACTCACCTCAAGAGAGGTACGTAGCTGGAGAGGTGTTTGATGCAATCAAAACTGACAACAGTTTTACAAGCATCCCAACCATTAATGCTGAGTTTACCGGGAAATTGGTCAGGCGTCTTCATCTCGACCCTCTGCTATTGCTGCTTAAAAAAGGCGTTTTTAATAAAAACATTATCCGTACCTTGAAGGTAGTAGTAGCCTGCAGTTTAAACGAAAAAAGCACTGAAGTTTCAAGCTCGAACGAGGACTCTGCTGAGAAATCGGACGAGGAGGATATCCTGCAAGAATTAGCAGAGGAGGAAATCCAAGAGACAGTGGAGGATGTTCAAGAGTCGGTAAAGGGAGGCGTTCAAGAGGCTACCAAAGAAGCGATGGGAGACGAAGCAGTGACACTAAACTAATCACTTGTTGATATACCATGTATATATTTCTTACTTCTGTTGTTGTTATTTGTAATGACGGTGTACCGCCACGTTTATCGAACCTTCTTATAACGGGGATACCTTTCAATGACTCTAAAGAATTTAAAACATGGAACTTAGTGAACATTCAAACTATAAAAAGTAAACATTTTTTAGCATCACGTTTGATACATAAGCACAACCACTGACTATTTCATTATATTAGTCAAAACATCATCAAAAAGGTAATAAATTGGTCCCACCCCTTCAAATAATTTTCTCCTTTTTTTCCTGGTCCCCCTTAGTGCCTGTTAGTTGGGGCTGATCCCCCCCTAAATCCCCCCCGCCCCAACCAGGCGACAAATAATGACTGGTCCCTAACGAATACCGGCTATAATATGGAAACTCATCCATAGCCTGCGAGAGCAGACGCCTTTTACGGCTCTTCTTTCACCAACCGGGAAAAATCGGCGCTAAAATTCAATTCAATTCTTTATTTCACACTATATGAGGTGTTTACATAGGTGTAAGTAGGTAGGAAAATAAAGTAGCTGACAAATAATAATTAACTAAAAGACATTAAGTTCATTTGTGTACAGTGTCCAAAGTAGCAAGAGCTTTCTTGTTGGACACCGTCATGTTGAAATAATCGGCAGCATTAAAGGGAGGAATAAAATCTCAGATAATATCAGTGATA